ACCCCATTCACCGCAATCAAAGTTGTCGATCCCTTTCAAGCCAGAGCGTCCAAATTGTTTCACCGTGGCCCACTACTGCATCCACTGATGTGCATGAACAACTGCATTCAAATGTAAACACATGCCAAAGTATGTGCATGTAATCAAACTACAATTGAAGACAAATCATATGTGCGATAGTTAATATGTTCTTATACGATGTGTGTATTGGATTGACCTGTTTGCTATATGCATGTGTCCTTAGTCGAATCTACATATGTGTCTATGTATATTTTACGTATATACACGCTTGCAAACGTTTGGCATGTGTGTGTGTGTGAGTGACGAAGTATGTATGCGTATATACCAAAGAGTACTAAACAAGAACCAACAGGGGGAAGAGCAGGTGAAATTCAAAAAAAAAAGTATCTAAGCCGCTTTCTAGTATGCTTTTCCGCGACGTGGCCCCGCCTTCTTCAGCTCCGGGGCCGTCGGATTTCGCGGCTCCTGGCTGCAAGATAAAGATGCCAGGAACCCAACCGACTTCGTTCAGGCCAAGGAAAAAGACGAGATGGGTTTCTGGGTGTCTTTTTTCTGGGTTCCTGGAAAACGATTTCTGTTCAAGTGAAAAACGATTTTGTTCTGGGTGAGTTAGACGGAAACATGAATGTTGGTAACTTCTCTTGTACTGGGGACTAGAACTCTCTGGCTTCTGTGATGTACTTGTTCTGGGGGACCCCCCCGAAGGCTGCTAGTGTCATGCACAGGGGACGAGTAGCCCGCTCCCCGAGGAACAAGCCCACCAAAAAAGGGCACCCTCCAAAAAGAGATACACCCAGACACTAAAATTGAAAAGACCTTCCTAAAGCAAGTTTGCGCTCAAGCCCTTCAGGGGATGTTGACATGAGAAGAATCAGAGCCCTTTCGGGGGAAGCACCAAGATTCATCCACCAGGTCTCAATTCATCCGGGGGTGATTGAATGGTCAAATGGAGCTACAAAATGGTTGGCTTTATAACAAGGCAAGGGTGGGTCCTCCCACCAAAAAATAGCCACAACCAGGCGGTAGTTTCAGTAAAGTCCTGTCGTTCAATTTGTGCATAGAACAATACATAATACGTGTGTGTATATATATATATATGTGTATACATATGAGTTGTAGCATAGCAGTCAAATGGGCTTGTATTTCCCAATGGGTGGTGTGGGGTCAAGTGTGCAGACCTTGATGGACCTGTGCCCGATGCGTGAACCTGTGGCTCGATCCAGTGCAACAAAGTGACGTGGGTGCATCCCCAAGCCCAACTGGCTTGTTCAATCCCTTTGAACCACCATGATGTTTCCTGTGGACACAAATGCAAACATTTTTTGCGAGAAGGTTCACATTTCTCTGGTGACAGGGGCAATTTGCTGATGGCTTCCCATTGAACCGATCGCTAGTTTTGGTGGTCAGCGAAGCGATCGAAACGAACCAGCCACCGGAGCGAGCCTCCGCCAAGCCCGCCCCCGCGTCCGCTGACTGGGCGTGAAGCAAGCGAAGCAAGCGACGCGAAGCGCTTTTCGAAGCGATGCGAAGCAACATCACTGGCTGGGGCCCAAGGGGCCCTGGTCCCTTTGGGCCTTGAGCAGAAGCCCAAATTCTGTAGTTGCCATTCATGTTCAGCTCTTAAAAGGACCCAAACCACCCATGGCTGACTGACTTCAAAGGGAAACCTATTCAACAGGAACCCTTTGAGGGTGCCTGCGTGTTGGAACTCCGCCCCTTCCCCAAATCCATGTTCAAAGGGGTTGCCGCATTCAGTGCCCTCTTGCAGGGCAGACTTTGCCATCACTGTATTGCCTGACACTGTTCCATATCTAGCCCACAAATTACCTCCCACCAATTAACATGGAACCTGACAGGGGGAGTCCTGGAAGACCACTGTCCTTTAGAGGAACACCCTGTCCTAAAAATATGTTTGGAGCAGACGGGTCCCAGTTGGTTATCTTCCATGGGGACTTCAAGACCTCTCTTGTTGCCTTTCTCAGCCTGCGCGGCTGTCGAATCGCAAGTTCCGGCCGTGGCGTTCTCGGGCTTCGGCAAGCGGGTTGACTGGATGAAGCAACGCACAACGCGGCGAAGGCATGTCACCGTAAAAACTCCATCGTCCTCCTCAAACCAACACTACCAGTCGCAATCTTGCCAGTCGCTACTTCAAAGCAACGTTTGAGGCAAAGAAAAGAAAAAGGGTTCCTATCTCGTTTGGGCACTCAACTCTGTGAGTGGCCTCAGTTTTGCTCTCAAAATGAGTGTTTTCTGGTTGTAAATGGTGGCTTCCACTAAAGGTTGTATAAAGGCCGATTGTCATTTCTTTCCCGTGAATTACCCTCTCTCCCACGTTGCCATGGCACCTGACAACAAGTCCCAAGAGGAAACTGATCTTCCAGGTACCCTCCCACAGGTGCCATGGTAGGAGGAAGGGCAATGATTCACCACGTGGCTGGGTCAAAACTAGGTGCTCAAAATGGAACCCTGGAAAAAAAAGGACCAAGGGCTAAAACCTGCGGTCCATATCCTGGTGGCTTAATTTTGACCCATACCCATGTGGCCGTGGGTCTAAACCCAAATCGTACCCCCAGTGAACATCCGGTTCAATCCAACCACTAAAATTGGTTCTAAAATGGGAGGTGAATTCACCTACCAACCAAAATGGGATCCCATTGCTGTTGACCCATACCCATGTACCCGCACTTCCCAACCACCTTCCTTGGCCGAGGCACGCCGCCCACCGCCTGCACCGGCCTCATGGCATGGAACCGAAGAGGTCGAGGCCGAAGCTTGGGTTGCGGAAGATCTGACTTGGGCAACTCACACTTCCTGAGTGGATGCGCCACAAAAATAAGTCCAAGCTTTATAAAAACCCACTGAGATGTTGGTACCAAAAAGGTGAGACAAAGATCTCTCCACTGCTTGGGCAAACTCCGCAGTAATCAGTCATCCCAGCAATGTTCAGTGGAAAGCAGATCTTGAGCTCGACTTTTGATTCCACGAGCTAGTTCTAATTTCCCCAAATACTCTAAACAAGCAGCGCACCATAGACAGCAAACTGATCAGAGGCCAACTGGGTGTGTCTTTGTTGTGGGTACCCGTTTTAGGGTTGGTTTTAGGCACATCAAATGGAAAACAGGTCACGCCATTTTTAGACACACCCAACTGGCAACCGAGGAAAAAGGAAATGCCCCCTTCAGTCTGGGAGTGTTCTCTCGAGAGAGAACAACAACAAAAAAAACATGTCAGCACCCTGGGATTCCCGAGCCTGCTGGCCCAGGCTGACGGCATGACCTGCTACACCACGTGTATACCTGGCCAGGCACTACAATCCCCGGGAGCACTACAATCCCCAGGAGCCTATTGATTCATCAACCGACCTCTACTGAAAACTCCATCCTTTATCCACTTTGGATGGACAACCAATACAGATTCCTCACAGGTGGTTCCCTGATCTGGTGATTGGTCCGATTGTGGAACCTCCCACCCGTATGGGAGCCCTTGTGGAGCTCCACTGTTTGTTTAGTGGTTGGCAGCCCCAATAATGGGTTGCCCTTTCCCTCAACCCCACAGAGCGTACCATGATGACAACACACATGGGTATGGGTCAAAATTAAGCCACCAGGGGACCACAGGTTTTAGTCCATGCTTCCATTTACCAGGGTTCCATTTTGGGTAGCTATTTTTGACCCACAACCACATGGAGCCATTCATGTCCGACTCATACCCTTCAATGGATGCTGACCGCGCCCCCGCCCCTCCACTTTTACGTGGGCCTCTTTGCTTTGAGGGCGCCCCCGTTTAAACGAAAAGGAAAACCATCAGTTTTGAGGCTCCCCCGAAAAAAGACGAGCCACCCATGCACTTGGAGAATCAAAAGGGATCTTCTCCAAGCAGCCGCCGTCCCACAAAAAAACAAGTTGCCCATTGAGCCTTGATTCCAAAACCTGACACAAGAATCCCTCCTGCATCATCCTTCATTGGTAGGTGCGTTTCTCCCTGCCACCATTCCAACTCCTCACGCAGGATCTGCACCCCATAACATAAGGGTACTGGGATCTAAGCACCCCCACCTCTTCTGCCTTACCTGCCTTCCGACATACCGCGCCAGGCCTAGGTCGCGGCCATGGCCGTGGCCATGGTGCGTGAGCGCGGGGACCCGAAAGGGGCGAAGGTGTCCAGTGTCAGTCCTTGCCTCAACTTATATTCTCACTGGCTGAGTGGATGGCCCAACAAAAAGTCCAAACTTTAGATTTACCACTAAAATGGTCTTCCCAAAAAGCTTAAAGTTTATGAACTCAGGAAGTGAGGTGAGCATTCAGAAAAGAAGTGAGCCAACAAAACCTGATAGACCTCTTGGCTCAACAAAAAAATGGTTCGGGCGTCTGCATGCATTGCTCGTAGCCTGAGAGTGCTTCGGTGAAGCCCTCTTCAGCAATATGACGCAAAGAACTGCATTCTCCCAAACAGGATTCATTCCGCAGCCGCTGAAACCATCTGATTGCCTGTGTTCACTTGGGGTTCAGCCACTGGAAACGCCCCAACTTACCAGAGCATTCGCGGCTGCGCGGTTCGCGGGTGTCGCCGGAAAAACGCGAGCAGCAAATCCAATGGTCGCCTCGGAGCAACAGTCAAAAACAAGTCAAAGGCTGAAGTAACACCAAGAAACCAAGAACTTTGAAGAATGGTTTGCCACTCAAAAATGGCAACAAAAGGACTGGTATTTCGTTGCCCAAGGACATTGCGGTTGCCTCGAAAAACTGTTTCCAAAATAAAGGCCAATCTCCTGCACATCAACGAACCCAACAAATGCACAAACTTCAGAGGCATGTTTCAGCTAATTGGTGGTTGGGATTGGTGGTTTGGTGGTTAAGGAGGGGTTTCCCATTTACCCTCTACAAAAGCTAGTTCAAAAGCTAGGAGTTCAACTCCCCAAACCACAAATCCAAGCCTCACAGTAGCCAAAATCCCACGAGCCATGCCCCTCCGGGCCCGGCCTGTGCGGGGCTCGTAGCCTTCTGCATGAGGGCCTCGGGGGCACATCATCCCAAAACTTCCCAGCCGGGGGGAGGGGGTTGGGGGGGGGTGGGGGGGTGGGGGGGTGGGTGGCGGGTGTGGGGGGGTGTGGGGGGGCTCATCCTCATCCCCAAAAAGGGGCTAATCTTGCGAAACAGGGGGCAAAGAATCCCCCAAACTCGAACATGCGCCATGCTCAGTGAGCCCATGTACCAATGTAGGCAACCGCTCTTCAAAAAGCTGAGCACAAGAAATACAATGGGCAAAAAGGAAAAATAAGGAAGCCGGCGCTACAGGACCTTCATGAGCTCGTTGAACCTTCAGATCGCCTCACCAATGGTTGGTGGACATGTCATTCCCGCCGAATTCGGATGCCCACCAAAGAGCCCCCAATTACAATGCAAATGTGTTCCATCGTCCAAACTCCGCGAATCCTTGTGCGATTTCCCCTTCAATAGCTTTACAAAATTCCATTGAAACGATCGCCACTTTTGGAGATTCCAAAATAAGGAAATGGCAGGCAAACCTGTCATAAGGCCCCCAATTCCTCTCCTCCGACCCCCAGCCCCCCCCTCGAACGTCATGGGCGCGCGGCTCTTCGGGTCGGGCCCCGGGTGCAAGAGGCCCTGAGGCACCAGGCGCAGAAAAATATCTCGCGAGCGCCGGGCCCCTCCAAAAAAGATACGGGCGGCTTCCCTGTGGCAGCGGCGGGCTTGGCTTCTTGGCTCTTTGGCTTCCGATTCGCTTTGGGGTCCTCGCTTTGGTTTCCCTGCGGCTTCCACTCCCGTCAAAGAGACAGCAAGCCTGAACTTCAATCAGAACAGCCTCCAGAATGAATGGTGGCACAAGGGTAGAAATCGGCCATGCAAATGACGTCCACCGACTATCCCCTATCAAAGTTATATCCAGCTGAGTCACAATCAAACTGCAATGTTCCGCAGTCTGCCGGAGGGAGCACTGTTATCCATCCTACTTCCACGAATCTGGGTGAATTCGGTTGCTCCCTGTTTGACTCGTTCCCAAGTTGATCAACATGTGGATGTCTCTAGGGAAACCAAAGGAAAACCACCTTTATTATATCTCATTCTTCCAAATTCTTACGTGAGTCTATCTTTTTCCTATTTGTCTTCTTTTTTGTTGGGGAGGTCCCCCGAAAAATGACACGCCCTGCATATGCCTTTCGCACTCCCTCTGGGTTCGTTCCGCCTTTGGAACCCTTCGGAAGGCCTCCAATGGCGGCTTCACGCCTGGCGGTCCGCGGAGGCCATGGGACCAGTCAGGGAGAACTGAAGGCTTCCGTGCAACGGGTGCTCATGTGTTTCTTTTAGGGTTAGGTGAACTAGAGGATGCTTTGTTTGTTGTTTAAGTGTTCTTTGAAAGAAGAAAAACAGGATGTTAGGTGCAACAAAGGCATGTCTTCTGTTTGCACCCGTGTTTGGCAACGTGGGAGGTTTGAGGTGTGAAAATCAGGGACGGTGCCGGCAAATCGGCAAACATTCTTACAAAGTGGCCAACTTACGTATTGGCCTCTGCACGGGTCGAAAAAGTGGCCGAACAATGTCAAGCAAGCACTTGAACAACTCATTCAACAGGTCAAAACAAGCGAAGGGATGTCAAAAACAAAAGCCCCCCAAGCTCCTTTTGGGGGGCTGCTTCACAAGGGAGCCCAAATTGACACAAAGCTCTTTGAAAACCATTTGTTCATCCATTCGTCGGTCCGCTGCCCGTTCATCCATTCTGCTAGTTCATGCGTTCGTCCGCGCCTCCACTCGTCCGTTCACGCAGCCAAACGGTTCAATGAGGTCACTCGACCCATTTCGGGTGCATCCTCAAGGGTTGCGCTGCCCATTGACCAACTAGAGATTGGCTTGAACCCGGCACATGCATGAAAATCCGGCGCATCCGGCTGGTACTCTTTCAAATCGAGGTCAGGAACGGCCCTTCGCTTTTCCTTTCTTGCGTGTCATCACTTTGGACCCCTCATGCCTTGCCAGAACGCAGGCACGCATTTAAAAAAAATAAAAATAAAAAAAAAAAAAAAAAAAAAAAAAAAAAAAAAAAAAAAAAAAAAAAAAAAAAAAAAACTAAAAAAAAAAACTAAAAAAAACTACTCAACTCAAACCATTTGAAAAAAAAAAGGAAACACCAAAAAATCAGCTCAAACATGTAGCCAGGGAACAAGATATGAAGATCTCAGACCTTTGTCCCAGTTTGCGGCTTCCGTCCGTCACGGTACCAGTCTGCCCTCACCCCCTCGCCCCCTCTCCCTCTCGCCGCGCCTCCCATCTTGTTCCCGGTTCCAGCAAGTACCTCCATTCGGATCTCAAAGCTGAGTCACTCGGTTGCGGGTGCAGTGACTTAGTGAGTCCCACATAGCCCTCCTAAATGAACGGACTACTGGATGCTGACGGACAAACTCCATTTCGGAGATGGATCATTCCCTACTGGGACGAGCTACCAGCTGGAGAATTTCGGTCCGCTGTATTGAGTGAACCCAAGCACCCTCTAAACCTTCTGTTTTCCTTTCGGCTTCAAAAAAGGACACCGGACCCCCTCTCTTTCGGGTTCTCCTTCTTCCTGGGTGCAAGAGTCCTAGTGGCAAAGGTAGCACGCATAGGACTGAACTGGGGGCCTTGCAAAATGACACGTGCACCTCCCCTGATAAGAACACAATACGTGCATGTACGTTTACAAGCACTGAACCTGTCCCCATTAAGAATTCACAGTACAGAATCCTGCCAGCCCAGCCCTGGACAATAACAAGCTTTGAAGTAAACATGGTTGACGGTTGCTTCAGAGCCCAGCTTGGCATGTGGTTCCTTCAAGCCTTGTGTTCTTTGGGAACCGTTCTAAAATTTCGTGGCCGGTCTGCTTAAAGCACCGCCAAGCGTTGGGAGGGCTATCCAGTGTGCTAAGCTTGCCTGTTCGCTGCACCGCGGGCGCGGGCACCGCAAAAGAATCGGGCGCCTTTAGGTCTGGACCAGTCAGGTTCGGTAGACTGAAGAAATTCCAACTCGAGGCCCGGACTGCTCCACTGGGCTCGGCTTAGGGCTACAAATGACTGAATAAAAAATGAATTGCGCCATCGACCTTCACCTGAAGGCTTTGGACACCCGGCGTGTCTTCATAAGCTTCAACAAGCGTCACACACAGCAAAAGGGAAAAGGTCAAACAAAAGAGCAGCCAAGATCCTCATGGAAATCAGGGGCTCCACTTCCATCAACCTGCTTCAAACTGTGGAAGGCCCCCGTACAAAACCCGCGCTCGAGTTTGAACATACACGCACAATCAGAGTGAAAAAAAGACCTGGACCACAGTTCGAAGGCAAGAACGGGCCCAAAAAAAGGAACCAACTCTTCAGTGATGAGGTCATTTTGTTGATTCCTGGCCCACATTCTTCTGTGTTGCCACATGAGTCCTGGTCATCCTGAGACCCCACGTGTGCCATGGTCAAACTCCTCATGTGGGTCATGGTTATGGTCTTCTTAAGAGGAGCCCTTGTACTGACTGTCTAAAACCCTTATTGAGGTCCAATACTCAACCGGTAACCCCAAGGTCTTTGCACCATGACATGGATTGGAGGACCCCAGTGCCTATCCCTGGTAAACCCCTCACCTTGTCTCAATTCTTCCAACGCCTGAAAACCTTTCTTTGCAAATGTCGGGCTTGAAACCTTTGTTCAAGCCAGACCGCGGCTCATGTGGTCATCACCCCTTTTGCAAAAGGTGGTGCAATTTTTCCCCACAAGGTCACAGAAGACATCATCATCATTTGCTTCCGCCTGCGTCTCTTTCCCGTTCCCTTCTGCGGCTGTCCCAAAAACAGAGCAATTCACAAGTGACTCTGGGCACAACATGCAGGAGTTTTGTTTGTGACCAAACACCCACGATGCTGATTCCTAGGTCTGTGGGCAAAATACATTAATTTGCCCGCAACACAAATTTAGTGGGTCCCGTGGGTTTTTGCGGGGAATTTAGTGTATTTGTGTGTAAATTGCGCTCGTCCCACCCCCACCCCCCCGTCAAATGGGCCGTAAACACATCAATACATCTGCCACAACCTCACATCTAACCCACAACTCTGGGTAGAATGTAGGACGTTCATATTTGCCCTATGCCAAGATATAAATGGGGTATGGGTCAAAGTCAAACCACCAGGATATGGACCGCAGGTTTTAGTCCACGTCTCCATTTATCAGGGCAACCCATTTTGGGGTTTCCCGCTTTTGTAGCCATACCCAAATCGTTTTGGGGAGTAAAAACAAACCAAAGGAATTTGGGCCCAGGGCACCCTTGCCTGGGCCCCCCCACCGGCACCAGCGCCAAGCCCACGCACAAGAAGCGCGCCATGGGGGCAGCAAGCGACTTGTGTGCAGCCTCAAGGGACCTGGGTTGACTCCCCATTCTTTTCAGCCATCTGTCTTTTCAAAAAACCAGCCATTTCCCCATTGTTTTTGGTTGTTTTCTAGAAAGAAGGATCCCTGGAAAGAATGGGGAAGTTACCCCTAGAACATCACGAAAACCTGTGCAGTCCTCAGATCCCCTGCTAAGAGTTTAACTTTTGGTGGGTTAAATAGAAACCCCCACTAAACCCTAAAAATCTACAAGGCTAAGGGGATGGCTGGGAGTCACCAAGAAACATGGGAGATGTATGTCCAGGAATCATCTTTGAATCATTGTTGAGGGCGTTCACCATTGAAATGCGTGGCCAGATGATGTTTTGTCTCCACATGGAGGGAACCCCCCAATGAGTGCGTTCCTTCCATTTCCAGATAGACATCAACCTCACAAAAAGGTATCCTGAAAGACACTCGCCCGTTTGGCTGTTTGGGTGATTTATTCTGCAGATGTGCCAATACTAGATGGACTTCTTTTTGGTGGGTCTGCCACAAACGGCTGCCATGGCATGTGCTCTCCGAGGTGTTGGCTAATTTAGGAGAGACAACTGCATGTCAAGCTCTGGCGAAAGAAAGAGCCAGAACTCATCCGCCAAGTGGAAGGCTCAGAGCGAACTTCCTATGCCCAAGTCTCGACCACCGCACCGACTCAGCCCGGTGGGCGGCGGGAACTCCGGCCGAAGCTAAGAAAGCCATGGGTCAAATCAAAGACAGGAGTCCTGGGTACGCAAAAGGGAAACCAAAGCCAACCCAAAGGTCAGCAGGTAATCAACGCTAGCCGCAACAGTGTCATGGAACCAAGTCGATGTCCTGAGAGTTGGGCCAAAGCGACATTGAGGGGGCTGCAACCTCCCCAAAATCAAACTGCAACCAGAACTGTAAAAAAAGATTCTCCGAGCATTTGGATCTCCGACCCAACATCTTGGGGCCGGCGAATCAAGAGGTGTTTGCAAACCCAGGAAGGCACTTGACCGTTCTGGAAAGACCCACGGACCTCTGGAAAACGTGGGGACCCCCAAAAGGCACCTGGGGTTGCTGCCATGGCCCTGTGCGCCTGATTTTGAGGATATACCCTCTTTGGTTTTGGTAACTGAACGGAAAACCACTCAAGATGGGGGAGCAATTCCCCGTATTTCGACGCATACCCAAATTGACGCTGGTGGCATCTGGGACCCCGACCCCAACCGCCGTGACGCCCCCCCCCAGTCGAGGCTTTCCTTGCCGCTTTGGCCGTAAGGCTTGAGCCCCAACCCTTGGAGGGGGTCTTTGGGAAGGATGTGTCATGGGTGTCGCCAAATTACCTTGGGGCCGTGTACTCCCCTGCAAATCAAAAGAAGGAACCCAAAAAGGGAGGGGCTTACCCAAACCCAAACTTGAGCCTGACATGACTGGCTCGGGTTCCATATTCATCGGCAGGTGAGAACGCATGTGGTTCAGAAACCCGCAGGGTCCGCCTTTTAGTTGTGGTTGGGAACTTCCGCAGCGAGAGGGCGGATATGCGGCAAGCCCTGCAGCCCTGTGTAGAATGTTTGGCATCATGGCGATCAAAGCGAACCAAGTTCATCCCAATTTGTATAGGACCTATTGACTTCCCTTGGGGCGGCCTCCCACCCTTCTTCCACTTCCGCGTGAGCCGGTCCCGTGTCAAAACTTTTTGCTTCCCATGGTTGATCCTTCAAACGGGGTGAAACGACGGGGCAAGGTCCATGTCGAGCCGAATCCTATCGCAATCCCTTGGCTAAACCTCACACCCCGAGCTCAGAGTGGCCCTTTGAAGGGAATGTACTGGGTCTGCAAAGCATCCATCGTCTGCCCCACAAGTCAAAATAAAGCAAAGCCTTGGCATTGGGAGGGGGGTTTAGCATATATGATGTGCATATAATGTGTATGTGTATATATGTATATATATATATATATATGTATATGTTAGTTTTATGTGTACAGGGGTGTGCTGCGTGTCAAGCATCTGTAAACTGTATGTAGTGATGCTAAATGGATAGCTACGATCAATAATACCTATAACTGTCAGTGTTTCTTATCCTGAACTGAAGAATCCTTGAAGAGGATAGCCAGGTCTGTTTGACAAATCCTCATATGGGTCGGTGTAGGATTACGAAAGTGTTGGTCTTTGTTTCCGTTGCTTCAATGGCTATGCGTGTCATTTTAAAAGTAACATTTTTCTGCCAGGACCCCTCTGTCAGGTTCCACGTCAATTGGTGGGAGGGTATCTACTTTAGCACCTAGAAGTGGGAACGCCAAATGGGTTTCCCTCTAGGCAATCAACGAGCTGCTGCCTATCGATTCCTAGCAGTGCCTTAAGCCTAAAACAAGCCTTGGCCTTAGGCCAAAAGAAGTAATTCTCAAAAACGGTTTGGATTTGCGGGGGTTCTTTTTACGAGGATTTCACCTGCTCTTGCACCTGCTTTCACTTGCTTTGTGGTAATCTTTTAGTACTCTTTAATATCCTACAGGGGTGGATCCACAAAAGCCATCTGACTGGTGCTTGGAAACCTCCCAGTTGCTGACAACACCTCGCCCCCGAATAGCCAAGGTGTAGGGCGGACTGGCTCTATAGAACTACATCCATGTCCCACCACAAAATGTGCTTGATGGGAAATAGCTGGGAAAAGCTCAAGTCACAAACGCCAGCATACACGATCATCCTCATCATCATCATCATCATCATCATCATCATCATCATCATCATCATCATCATCATCATCATCATCATCAGCATCACCACCATCACCATCACCATCACCATCACCACCATCATCATCGTCGTCCTCATCATCATCACTACAATTGCAACGACGACCAAAAGTATGTTGCAACAACGAAAAAAAGGAATAGTATAACCATGGCTTCGAGTAAGCTCATTCATATGGACCTCGTCCACTTGTGCCCTTCTTTGAAGGGCGGCCTTCGCGGCCATTTCAGTACAGTGAGACGCGCCACTTCGGAAAGCGGGGAAAGGCGGGCCCCTTCTCACCAGCCGCCCAGAAATGCCAGCGGTATCTCTTGGCATGGAAGACGCACAAGCTGCGACGTCGTGGCTTTAAGGGGCCCGGTCCCCGGCCGGGGAAAAAGCGGCCATGCAGGATCTCTACAATCACAGGCTCTCAGCTGTTCAGCCTGGATCGCTCTCTCGGCCAAGTAACATCCGCCCGCAAACAGGCCGCCCACTTGGTCCAAGTCCGAGACTCCTCCATCCTTTGCGGGGCTCCCTTTGCCGCCGGTGAAAGGGAAGCCGAACGGAAACCAAAGTTTGAAGGTTGCCCCACTAACCCAGAACAGGCCCGCGCACAAACCGCAAAGGGACGTGGAGAGGGTCGCAACCCGGACAGAACTTGCCAACTCTATGGCCATGTCCAAATTCGAGACCGGCTTTATTCCGAGAATCCCACTTCCAAGTGGGAAATCCAGAAAATGCCAATACGAATATGATCAACCTGAACAACCGAAAATCGATGGCCGGGCCGACCCAAAACAAATGCCTTGGTAAATAGTCCGTTGCTCATGTGCATTCCTTGGAGGCTGCCCTTGTTGGGGTGATTTCGAGAAACCAAATGGAACCTGGCCGTCTTGAAGGGGGGAATCACCCATGGGCCTCATTCGAGCAGGTGCCGAAACCCCACAAGTGCCCCGGTCGGAACGGATACCTCTCACAGCTCTGATATCTGATGGATTCGCTGGTCGCATGATCCCAATCCGTTGATGATAGTGTAAGCATTGCAGGTACATATGTCCTAGAGTAGCGGTCTACATTTCTTTTCTGGTCTCGATTTGAGCTCCAACTTGTTCTTTCCGGAACATGAAAATGGCCGTTTCGGCAAACCGCGGGCGGTTGGGGGGGATAATCCTGCCAATCCTGCCTATTCATTCAGACCTCCGGGTGGTCGATGAGCGTGGCAAAAGCAAAACCTGCTTGCTACCGGGAAAAACTTGCTGGTTCTCAGCAGGGAACGAGGGAATGACACCTACCACCTGTCCAAGTGGTGGTTTCCTTTCAGGGAATCCCCTTCCGGTTCATTCCCAACACCCGGAAGGTCATTCCCTACGGAGCACCAGCAAGAAAAGGTTAGTTCCTCCAGCGGAAGGAAAGGTTTGTGCTTCGGGGAGGCCCACCATCTTGTGGGAGACCGCTTCAACAGACGGCATCCACCACTGCGCTGCTCCAACTTCCTTCAACGTCGAACAGTGGCACATGAGGCTGGATCTTTGTCAATTGCACCCTTGGGCCTGGGGAACCAAGAAGAAGTCCGGAACGCGAGGCGCGAGACTTCTCTCACTTGGGCTCTGCTACTACTACCTAGTAGGGCTGCGAGCCAAGGTCAATCAGTACCAATCGCGGCTAACACACACATTTTTCGCCAGGGTTGTGTATGTCTTGTCAAAGGTAGACCGGAATCAGCTCAAACGGCTTCTGAGCCGTGCCGATCTCCAACTTCCTTGCTGAACTGAACTGCTCAAAGGCAATCTTTAATCCTGACTCGGGCTACGTAAAGGTCCTCCGTCCAGTCAATTCCCCATAGGGGTTGGTGGACATAGGCATTATGGACAATCAGATTGGCCTAAGCCTCCATTTTGCACAGCACTAGGGGGTACAGTAGCGGCTCTCTGGTGTACCCTCCCTCAGGCGAACAGCCGGAAGCTGCGGAAGGGGGGTGAGTTGCCCTTTGAGTTGCGCTTCCAGGTTCCAGGGCGGCTTCTGACTTCCCAGGGCACTGCAGCTTCTACCAACAGGATAGTGTTCTTGGCCCCCCCCGGTTCCAAAATAACAACTCATTTCATTACTATCAGCATCATTAGTGTTATCAACAAACAAGAAAAAGAGTGAATCTGACTCCTCCAAATTGCCCCTATGAATCAACCGGGGGCTCATGTATCCCGTGTCCGCAGCCAAGTCACCACGTCCCATGCCCCCAAGGCCCGGCCCGCCTCGCACCTAGTGGAGGTCTGCATTTGCCGCCGACAGGTCCAGCGGACCGGACGCCGACTGCGCGAAAA